TTTTTAATTTAGTAAATATTGTTATTTTGTTTATTTATTTATTTAACCATTTTAATCTATTAAGATCAAATGTCAAAGTTTATTTGTCATTATCGATTTAAATGTTCTTGTTACTGAAGTTATATAAAACTTTTATTTCAAATTTACAAATTTGTTTACAATGAATTACTTTCTCATTTAATTCATATAATTATTGTATTTTATTCATTTTGATTCTACAAAATCTTATGGTTGGAATGTTATTTACTGAAAAGTTATTTTGATCTCATATAGTGTAGCTGATGTTGTGCATCATGCAAACCACCGAGGGATTTTTGCTAAGTTGAGTAGAGATTTGTTGTCTAAATATCTCCTATTGATGTAAAATATGAAATTTATGTATTATATCATAAAAAGTATGATTAGGTGCTCCATATAAACTATAATTAGAATCCTTATTTTTGTTATATACCTTGTCTATTGGCTAGAAGGAGTAGAGCTCCTAGTTGTTGAAATTTTTTATTTGAAGATTATGTTATAGAATTTTTGAGAAGTTCTATTTGGGGGGGAGATTTGTTAAAATTTTTACAAAAATATTAATATATTTATTTGAAGGAAAAACACTAAAGATATCCTAAATCCAATACAAAATTTAATTATGATTTTATTAAAAAATAGAAAATTTTCTTAAGTTAATGCTTAAGGGATATGTTTTTTGTACACATATTTCATGTCGATCACTCCATATTCGGGGCATGACTGGAACGGTTAGCAATATTTCACTAGAAAAAAATAGATCAAAATCCTTTGATTTTCCTCATCGTGCAAAGAGGAAAAGCATTTTAAAATTAGAAAAGACAAAAGTAATATATATATACCTTATAACGATATCAATTTTTAGCAATAGAATGTTTTTTATGTACAAGTGAGGGCTTACATCTAATTTCTGTTAATAACTTTTTTTTTCTGAATGCACGAGCATGTATGTATTATGGAGCATATATGTATTCTCATGTTACTAATCGTGTTAACCACTTTACAATATCACACTCTAATTCTATATGAGACGAGGGGAACTTTTGTTTTGGTAAAAATATTTGAACATAAATGAATAAATAAATTACAATTCTGAGTCTGGCTTTGAAAAATGGAAGTTCTCTGAGTAAGTTTAACTATCTCATTTGATTCTTACGAAAGATCATCTTCAAGATTTAATTTCCACTATCCTCACGTTAGGCCTAATAACAAATACGGATACTTTGGCTTAAGTAACCATTATGTAACGATTACTATCAATATAAGGCACAGTGAAAACATACTATAACACTTGAGTACTTAGTCATATAAATATATAAAGTTTAATTAGGGAACTTGAAAAACTGTTTTACGGGTATATTAGTTTCAACAGTGGATACACCCGACTATGTTTCTCATCAAGTCTCGGCATATAGCATGTAACCTTTTATGTCAATTAATGAGAATCATCTCGCTTCCATTCGCTTATGCACGTTTCAATAACAACTTACATTTTTTGTCCAAAAAAGAAAAACACAACAGCTAACATTTACTAGCTAGTAAGTTATTAAAAATTAGACCAATCATTAAATTAATCATAGTACTAATTCAAGAGTTAATGTTTAAGAGATCGTAATCGAACCATGGTTAGCTTGATTATGAACAAAATGTTTTATTAAACAAGTCAATATACTAGTTTAACAATTTGTTAGTTTAATTGGTTAAATTGACCTGGTTTTCAATATTATACTAGTCACATAATTTCATGTTGAACGACAACATTTTGATTTCTATTAACTTTATTGGGTTTTATGTAAGAACAATAATTAATATTGAAGATAGATACCATCTCCTTACCCCCGGTTTTGGTTTGTCTGTGGTGCCGTCCTCATTGTTTTTCAAATAACAAAAATTAAAATAAAGAGTGACACAGTGAAGTTCTTGGAGAATATTCCAAGCAGTTGAGCTTCTCAAAGGTATTGTAACGGTTGAGATTCAATTAAAGGGACCCAAAAGATTCTTCACGTTGATCCAATTTAAGTAAACATTACAGCTCCTTCAATACAGCGGAACAGCCTAACCATCAAAACCAACATAACCTAACCCCACTTGGCATCCTGTTTTTTAAAAAATAAACAAGTGCACAATAGTGCTTCAATTTGTTATAATATTCTCACGAGTGTATTATCACTTCTTCTATTTTTTATGTACATTTATCGAGGAGACCCAGAAGTGAGAGTTCCATAATCCTAGGAGCTAATTTTTCTCCAGAATATTCTCTTTTTTAATTCCAACTTGGAGTGTTTGCTTCAAAAAAAAAATAATAATAATAATTCCAACTTGGAGTGAGTGATAGTCAAGCCTGGCAGCTCCTCATACATGACCACATTTGACTTTGCCACTAGCTGGTACTATATATGCTAAGGCTCTCATTGCTTTGATTTTTAACTTCAGGTTAAAAGAAATATATATCATATATATGTGACAAGTTCTAGTGGTAGGACATGGGGATCTGACACCAAGCACGTGATCATGCCTTTTGACTTCACTTTCAATCATAGCACTTTTTTTTTTTTTTTTGTCCTTCTGGGCACTTGTTGGTGGCTGCTGCATATGCGTTGTCATAATGTTTGATTTAGCCATTCATGCAAGTAAATAAGGAAGGAGTTTGAAAATTAACATCTATATGTACTCTGCAAAAATCACTTTTAAGGAAGCATTAATTAATATCTAAGGAAATTAACTTAGCAAAAAAATTATGTTTTTAGCAGACTTGGCTGTAAATTTGGAAAGTTATGATTCGAGGACATCACCTGGTTGTAACACGGCCCTTCAAATTAAATTCCATGCCCTAGATCGATTACATTTGATATGAGTCAAAAAAGGAAAGGCGTATCTTTTCGCACTATGACTAAACAAACTATTTCAGTCCAGCCACCAGAAGGTTTAGAGAAAATAATCTTTGGCTTTCCGCTGAACCATAGATGAAGGCATATAGTGGAGTCCCAAATCTGAAGCCAGTCAAAAGGCCTCATATGTAGAGATCTTTTTCTTTAATTTACCTTTGAGTTGGCGGCTACCCAATGATACGATCTTGAAACGATATTTTATAGCACAGAGCAGGGACAGATGTGTTTAAAGATCTTTGAGATTGACCGAAACCATTGAATTATATATATACATATATATAAATAGAACTTTGAGTTCTATATTTTATTTATATTTTATTATAAATTTTTAGATTTTTTATTATTCTAAATTTTTATATTTTTATCTTTTAATATTTTAAATTTTTAAATAAATAAAGTGTAAGAATTTAAAAAAATTAAAATACTAAAAAATAAAAATTTAAAAATTTAAAATATTAAAAAATTTAAAAATTTATAATACAATGTGAGTAAAATATAAAAACTTACATTTATATTTTTTTATGTACCTATAAAATTAATAGTACACCTGCGTGTGTGAGCGGACAAGGTACAGTAGAAAATCTCCGTGGGTCCATTTTGATTTGGTGCGCCAGCGACCTCCGATTGTTTATTAGATGTTATCAGAGTCCATGAACTCGGAGCTGTTTTTCAGACCAAATTATTCTCAGTGGCTTCTTCCCACCCTGAAATGCCATGATGTGTCAAGGTCCATTTAAGCTTCACCCTTCAAGCTTCCACCTTCATGTAGGAAACGAAGGAAAACATGTAGTGTATAACTTAAGAATCTCTATGCTTAGAAGAGAGAGAGATCATACTCAAATAATTAATACACGCACACAAATTATTACATTATAAGCTTTTCTGCAGCTCCTGTTCTCTCTTTACTCTTTTATACTAAACTCTTCAAACTACCTTCTCTTTAATACTCCCTCAGGTCCTTCATTTTTTTTTTTCAAGTGAGAAGTTAAGTTTAATTTACATCTCCAAAACTACCCTTCTTAAAGAGTAAGTGATCTCTATCTTCTATAGCACTTGGGAAAATAAAATATATAGATTTATACACTTTTGGTGAGGTATCATATATAATATATCATAATCTAAAATGTTTTTTTTCTTTTAATTTAGGACCGGCTAAAATGATCCTAGACGGCAGAGAGTATGATTTTCTAAAAATCATAAATCATATATTTCAAGATATATTAATTAACACACAATGATAAAAATACATGCATACTAAGTCCATACACAATTAAACCTATAAATTCTAGGACTCTAAACAATTTGTTTGAGTATAACATTTTCCGACACCTTAGCACTTTACTATGTCTATAATCAACACGTATCATGCGTACTCATGAGTTATCACTGTTCTAATTATTGTAAGTACAAATACTCAATAAGCGTCTCATGTTGGACACAATAATGACAATTTCATTAAATCGAACAGCTGATAGAGATTTTGTCATATGAATATTTAGAAGGTATCAAATTTTAATTTTTTTTAGAGGGGACAGTATAAGAATGTTCTGATTATGAGAATTATTTTGAATTTTTGAATGAAAATATATCTTGATAATTTTAGAGTATTAATGAAATCCAATGATTGTAGTTGAGATAGTCATTGAGTGAGTATACTTAATTAGGTCATTCACCAAATATCCAAATTCCGGGAATCACACAATAATTGTGACAACCTATAGCTAGTACAACAGAAGTTAAGAGGTGAAGATCAAAAGAGAAATATAAACAAAATAATAAAAAGTCAACCACTGAGAAGATTTCCCATATAATTATATACACGCAAAGCATGCAAGAGATTAGTCTTACTAGTGAAAGCCGCCGGCTGCATATGGAAAATAAACGGTCCGTATTCGGAGGTGGACGAACTCCACAGATTTAGTCAAATGGCATGACTGATTAGCTATAACGCAAAAGTCACAACAAGGCATAGACATAAAACTCAACCAAGATTATAAATACCATAAGATCCAAGAACTTCTCAAATCATCATCTTGAGCCACTCTTCCATCTCCTTAAACCCTAAAGCCCTTCCCAATACTCAAACAAAACCTCGAATCTTGTTTTAATTCTTTAGTTATGGATGAGGCCATTCTAAAATATTTAGCCGTAGTTGTTGTACTTGTTGCCTCCCGTGAAGTTGTTAGAACTCAGGGAAGGCAGATAAAGGCTTGGAACCAACATTCCAAGACGAACAAAGACACTGCCATTGATGGTATCATTCCTACTTCATCAAAGAAGGCTGTTGATGAGTCACTTCATAACGTTAATTCTGTCCCTGAAGATTCATCAAATGGAGATCACATCATAAGTACTTACCGACCAACAACGCCAGGAAACAGTCCTGGGGTTGGTCATCGAAAATTTGGAGAAGAAAGTAGAGATACAAAAACAAAGGAGGTGGTAGTGGAAAGCCCAGACGCTAAACATTATTATTCTGCGATGTCTAAAGGATCCGAAACTTATTTCAAGCCTACAGAGCCAGGTCACAGCCCTGGCGTAGGGCATGCTGCTCATCAAAACAAGGGTAATGGAGAAGTGGAAGGTGTGCAAAATCAATTAAGTAATTAATCAGCCGAGTCTTTCAGAAGCTCAAATGTGGTGTGCAATTGAATTAATACGGGTATGTGTGATGTTTTCAATGTTGTTATGCATTAGTAGAACGCTGTGTGTATTCTTGCATGTTAAACCATGCAAAACATTATTCTATACTTTCTCTGTAACTCTGCAATAATGAAAGTTGTTTGTACTAGAACAAATGTTTTTTATTATATTTTCTCTGAGAGCTAATGAATAAATAATCCCTTATTGCGTGCAAAATCGAATGAAAATTGTTGTTTCTGTAATAGGCTTATTTATATTTTTTTTTTTCTGCACTTGAGGTAATTAAAATGAAAAATGTTGCGACAAAAAATAAAGATGAATGCAAATCTCCACCCAAAAAAATCTCGAATGTTATCCTAACATGGCGTTATCTTAGCCGCATTTAAGTGTATGGTAAGTGCGCGCTCGCGCGTATAAGCTTATGCCAACTAAAAAACTGTCATTAAAGATTACAAGTAAATGTTTTTTTTTTTTTCCGATTCCGCCTCCATATATTCAAAGCGGAAAAAAGAAAATTTCTGTGGATGTTATGTTGAAGGTTTTGGACCCAAAAAAAGAAAAAAAAAGTCAATATAATAAAAGTGTCATGTCCGACCAACCCGATAATTTATCTGGCCTATAATCAACTTTTAGATTTTAATGGGACAAATTCCATAACATGTGATATTAATAATTTATTATTTTTACAACACCAAAGTATAACAAAGCTTTCTTGCTCTGGAGGAGAGAGAAGATGGAAGGAGATAAAGAAAGAGAAAAACTTATATATTTAATCTTATATATTTAAGATATTTGTTTCTAATTAAATCAACATATATATCTTTTATAAATTATTTATTTTATAATATATTTTTATTATTAATATTACTAACACATTAAAATTCTCATGTCTTGATTTAATAAGATAAAATAAATTAAATATATAAGGTTAAGTGTATAAATCTTACCTTACAAGAAAATAACATATAGAGGTTCGAATAAAAATTCAAAATGGATCTAGACATGATGCCTGTCATTTGATTCGTTATTAGTTTTTTCTAAATGACAACAGAAATCGGGCCAAACAAATGAGAGAAAAAAAAACGAAAAACAAAAATCTGGTAAGGTTCTCTCAGTCATATTCCACATGTTTGAAGAATCCTAGAAAGGCGATGAGTTTCATAGTTTTAGTTCAATGCATGATGAGTGGCTTAAGGATAATATGTAAGTATGTTTAAGGATAATACTAGCTTAGTAGTGGGAACTGTTAGATTTCTTATATGTAAGTATGTTTAAGGATAATATATTACACCAAAATAGGCAATAGCTTAAGCCATTTGATTAGATACTTTTTAAGTTTATATATTTCTAATCTATCTTTAATTTAATCTTTAGATGTGAGATTACTTTTATGTTTTAATATTTTCTCTACTACTTTTTTATCTATTTTTTTCATCTTCTTCTTCTTGCTTGGGCTTATACTTTCTTTTAGTCTCAAGTCTCAAGTCTATTTAATTTCTTCTCCTTCTTCTCGTTTTTGTTTTCTCTTTTAATCTCTTATTTTTTATCTTTAATTCTTTTTCTCTCTTTTTTTTTTGTTTTTGGTTCCCAAATGAATGGCTTATGATACCATATTAGATTTTTTATATCTAAGCATGCTTAAAGATATTATACTCCACCAAAATAACTTAGGCTATTTAGTTAAATACTTCTTAAACTTATATATTTCTAATCTATCTTTTAATTTTTAGATATGGGAATTCTTTTATGTTCTAATACACACTACTTGGACATTTGTAAAAGGTACTTTTAATAACTGATATGCAAACAAAGAATTTGTATTTAGGATAAATTAAAGCATCAAGTGATGAGCTACTGATATTTAATTAACTCAATAATTGCGAAAGTTAAACCAAACCATAAGCCGTCAGGCAGCACGCATGCATCAACTTGCGATCTTTAAAATTGGAACGCACTTAGTGATTGTCCCCATGCACTAGTGATGCTATAATATATAATTAAACTCTGATGATAGTTTATTTAAGAAAAAACTATGAACTGAACGGGCTTTACGCTTTTGCTTTACGTTTAATTATAACTTTAATGAGTTTTGTGATATAAACTTGTTTGTGCTGCTGGTTGATCAAAGGAAGGACCACTTGGGTCGGATTCTATATATGAGCGTTTGGCTTACCACTGCAAACCACCGATTATATTTCGCAGACAGGAAGGGTATCTAATTAACAACCACAACTTAACCATATATATTGATTTCTCAGGTGTTTTTCTTTTTTCATGTTAAAAGAACCTCAATTTTTCTTTTATTTATTTTTTTTTTTGGTGACACCATAATTTTTTTATTTCTATTTCCTATAAGTGTTTTTCCTTTTACAAAAAAAAAAAAACTACAAACTTGACTTCCATTATTTCATATATTCATAGATTGTTTATATATATATATATATAGAGCTGACATCTTATTATTCCACTCATTTATTCTTTTTTCTGTCTTTCTCCAAATGCATCATATATATTTATATTTGTTTTTTGTAAATATGCAGCATATACACTTTTGTGAATGTTTAGAACATTCGGAATTTTTTTTTAAAAAAGACATCTTAGAAAGATAAACTAAAGCACTAGTTGTGCTAAGAAAATGGACGCGTGATACAATATTGATAATTAAAATAAAATATTGTCGCAAAGGATTATTATTATTCTTATTAGAATATTGTTAAATACATACTAAAATTTTATATTTTATGGAATTGTAATATTATAAGAATATACAGATAATAATAAAGTGACAATTTTAAATGATGAAAATAAATATAAATTATAAAATATCTCTTGAATAAAATACAAAATACTTCATCCTTTCAAAAATATAAGACATTTTTTGATAAGTTGAATGTTAAAAAATGTAAGGCATTTTTAATATTTTGAGGTGTAATCATTATCTTTTTTTAAAAAAATATTCCTATTGATAATGACTTTATATTTATTGTAGGATATTTAATAGGGATAAATATAAAAAAATAGAGTTAGTTTGAAAATAGGTAACTATTTTATTGGGATGAGATTTGGTTCAAAATACCTTATATTTTTTAACAGAGGGAGTAGATAATAAGTTGTTATACTATTCACAAGTTATGAATAGTGAAATTTATTGTTCAGATTTCATACAATGCATAGCTGTTAATGAAAAAGTAAATCCATGTTTATTTAAGTTTTTTGGTTGAACCAGCGCATGCGATTCCTCTCACTCCTCATCTCTGGGAAATATTCTCGAGAGACTTTCCTGTGAAATAATAATTAGAGAAGAAAGAAACTACGTACCCAACCTCTAGAAAAGGAGCGATGAACATCATGTTTAATTTGCTCTGTTCTACTTGTTATTCCTGTCTCTTTTCCCTTGAAACTTCTTTTAGTATCTAATTTTTTAATTCAAATTCTACCTTTATCATTGATAAATTTAAAGCTTGATGTTGGTTTAGGTGTGTGTGTGTGAAATATAGAAAGAAGACGAATATATCTATGTATGTGATGCTATATAATTTTTTATTTGATAATATAGCGTTTAATTTTCTTATAAAATATAATTTAAAAATAAAAACTAATTAAAAAAACTAAAATTTAATGTAAAAACAAGCCAATTGCACTACTTTAGAGTTATTCTTAATTAAAATTAAAAATAAAATTTCAATTAATAAAACTAGCCAAAAAATTTAAAAATTGTGATCTAATATATAATCATCTATATTTTTATTATGTATTCTTAGATACTTTTATATTATAATGATAAATATGAATATTAAAAAGAATACTACAATAACCTTGAGAAGTAAAAAAATTAAAATTAATAATATAAATGATATTATACCAATTATATTTATAGTTTACTTACACAAAATAAATAATATAATTTTCAATTTTAATAAATTAAAAGAATTAAATTAAAGTATTTAACAATAGTAATAATATTTTATAATATTTAATATTTAAGATATATGTGTGCTTTTTTAGTTTAATAATATATATTTAATTATGTAATAATAGATTGTAGGTTTATTCTAACTCAGTAGCAAAATGGTGAGACACAAAACAAAGAGGTCATGAGTTCAAACCATAAAAGAAGTAATTTGCATAGTGGAAATATATGTGTGTGACATAATAACATGTGGCCGTGACGTGAAGCCACATGGAGAGTGACATGGGTAATACATGGTAGGTGACGTGGCACCACATGGGAGTAGGGAGTGATGTGGCATCATGTGGTTAGTAGGCTAACATTGCTTTTCAACAGCGACAAAAAAGTAGCCATTAATTGATAGTTTTTGTAGTGACAAATGTCATCGCTAATGCTCAAAAACCACTGATATATGGTTTCTACAGTGACATTATCACTATTAATTCTCAACTTTCAATAACGAATATCTTTCTGCAACAATAAATTTTCTTTTACTGATTGAATATTTTTGTCGGTGACTTTTATTGTTGCCGCAAATAAAATCAATAATAAGAGCTCTCACAGTAACTTTTTATCACGACTAAAAACTTTCTGAAAGTCATTTTTTTTAGTGATACTGTTCCAAGAGGTCCTTCCATATGCTATAAGAAAGGCTATATATTGAGTGGAGCCTTTCCAGTGCTGAGTAGGAATTAAAAAGAAAGAGAAGAGACAACAAGGCAATGAAAAAAAGTAAAATATTTCCTTGCATAGTTCATATGTATGATTTAAATAAGGAACCAAAAAGTGAAATTCCACTTTCCCTGAGCTTGGGATGATCAGTAGGCCTCCACGCGCATGCAATTAAAATCAATTCAATTTCCTTACGATACTAAATCACATTTCCCTCGTTCTTGTTCGGTAACTAGAATAGCCTGCTCCTACATTGCAAAGGCATATTTAAGCTTTTAAAAAACACACAAAAAACAAAGATATACATGCATACTGAAAAAAAATATTAAAAAAGTACTGTTTTGCTTCATGTGACATCAAACACTCTAATAGATATTGAATAGTATCGAATATAAACAGTGTGTGCTGTATAACGATTGAGACGGGTTATATTGTTAATAGTTTATGACCGATATGACTAGTTGTAAATGAATGTTTTATGCTGATATCTGAAACAAAGGAGAAACAGGCCTGGTTTTACTGCAT